AAAATTATAATCAAATTAAAATATTCCTCACTCGTAGCATAATATTATTTTGAAGATTTAACTAGTAAAGTTTTTCTTTTTGTAGAGAAATATAAGTCTTGTTGAGTAGGAATCTAAATCAATTACTTTTTCAATTGAATGTTCCTGGGATGCAAGTTTCACATTATGGATCATTATTATTGCAAAATCCAACAGGACATTTAGGAGGTTTACTTCCTTTCTTGCATATGAATTCATTATCAGTTAATTCCATAACTAGCTCTCCATTTTTCTTTCCAGTCATGCTCCATTGCCAAAGAGTCATTTTTACTTAATCCGGGTTAGAACATTTAACTTCAATTCTACGAGTTTTAGTGCTACTCAAAGTTTAAGAAATAGTATCTTTAACTGATGTACCTACAGTAGCACTAACAGAAGCCTTATAGCCTAAAACATCGCTACCAAACTCAAACCCTGATGTCAAAGAGGTGCTTATTTCATTTTCATTAGACTTTGATTTGTCAATACCAGAAGTTTGCTCAATACTTGTAGTTATTTCATCATTAGATGATAGTACTTTATCCCAAAATCCTACTAATTAAACAGTTTCTTATCCAAAAACTATTATACTTCCAATTTAATCATTCCATTTTGCATTTTCATAAGTCAATAGATCTATCTAGTCAGGTCCATTGAATGTAATAGATTCTCCTTCAAAATAGTCATTTTAAAATACTTAGATTGCCATATTAGCAGGAACAATAATGCCAGAGGCACCTCCTTTATTTCTTGGTTTGTCGATTCCGTTATATTAAAGATCTTAAGTGAAATATTTTCCAGGTAAGAATGTTCCAGATCTGTCAAACTATTTTAAATAACCTCCAATGAGAGTCACTCTTGGTTCTTTTTTTTCATCATAAGAATAAACTTCAATGTAGCTTACAGTATCAAAAGGTACAAAATATGGCTCATTATAAGGTCCAAGGACTTCAAAGTTATCACTCCATCCCCACCATACACCGTTTTTGAATTTGCTGAACCTTACTCTAAGGCCTTTACCGATTTATACAGAGCTCAATAATTTATCAAAATTAGGTGAAAGAGTATCTAAATTTCCCTTAAATCCTGCTTTTAGCTTAACATATCTATTTTTGAATTCTGGATCTTCAAATAAAATGACTTCACCTGGCTTTGCTATTTCAATAAAAGAAGCAAGATTATTTGCCTATTTTATTTATGATGAATAACCATAGAGTAGAATAGCAATTGCAGCTACTGAAAATCCAAAAATTAATGAAATAAAAACCTTAATGATACTAGTTCGTTTAGATCTATGTTGATCTGAAAGCAGAGGATCCATAATATTAAATATATTTAATTTGATAAATGCCTTTAATATTAATATTTAGGATCCAATATCTAAGGTGGTCTCTGAGATTGATTGAAAAATATATTATTAAAATGCATTTTGAGAGATTACAATATAGACTATTCAAAACTTAATCATTTTATAAGAGTGATTTTATATGTTTTAGATTAATTGTACTTAGATACATAATGCCATGAAGTAAATAAAAATCAGTTAATGAGATGAGATTAAATTTATTTCAAAGAGTTTATTCTATGATTTTAACCCAGTAAGCTTTATTATGGATAAAGAAATGATGATAAAATTATATTACTTATAGACTTAAGGTAAATTTTAGATGCAGCAATTATATTGTTTTATTTGACATCTTAACATAAAAATTTTCATTCTTTGTGTGGAGCGAAACTTTAAGTAAGATAGACATAAATATTAAGAAATTTAATTGATAATTTGTTCATTTAAGTTTGATAAATAATACTAGTAAAAAAATAAAAATATTGGTAATTAAACCAATGATAAAATTAAATTAAAAACACATTTTGATAATGCAATGTAAATAGCTAATCAAAATTAAAGCAAGATAACAATATATAGTATTAAATATATTCTAGTATACTTTATTAAGATCTTTTCTTATACTAATTTCAGATGCAGCATTTAGGGGTTTTGGGGTTTTGGGG